GTGTAATTGGTGTTATTTCCTCTTTAAAAGTTTGGTAGAACTCACCTGTGAAACCAACCAGAAATAGTATTTCTTTTTTGGAAGACATTTCATTTAGTTATGGCACTAAGCATGGCACGGTTGCACATGCCTGCAATCTAGCATTTGAGAGGCAGAGGCAAGAGGATTCCAAGTTTGAGCCCAGTCAGACTACATTGAGATGCTGTCTGAAAAAAAAGTTATGGAACTATTCAGATGTTCTCCTTTTTTTTAACCTTGGATAAGTTTGGTAGTTTGCAGTTTTTGAGGGGTGGGTTCACTTTACCTCAGTTGTTGAATTTCTGTGTAGGTCTGGCTGTAGTATCCTATTTTCCTTTTAATGTCAGCAAGGCCGTTGTAGTCTTGCTATTTCTTTTTGCATTCTTGAAATTGGAAATTATCTTCTCTCTGCTTTTGGTTAGTTTTGTTAAAGTTCTATTGATTTTTTTTTTTTTTTTTTGGTACTGGGGATAGAACTCAGGACCTTGCGTTTGCAAGGCAGGCGCAGTGCCACTGGGCTAAATCCCTGGCCCTAACCTGTATTGATTTTAATGGTTTCAAAGAGCTAGTTTTTGTTTCCACTTATTTTTTGTTTTCATTTATTTTCTCTATCATGTTTTAAGTTCATTGGTTACAGCTCTTACCTTTATTTGCTTGCTTTGGAGTCATTTTGCTCTTTTAAAAGTTTCTTGAGGTGGAAAGTTGGATTTTTTTGAGATATTTCTTTTGTAATATAAATGTCCAGTGCTGTACATTTCCCTCTGAGCATTGTTCTAATTGCATACCATGGATTTTGATATGCTTTCATTTTTATTGAGTTAAATATTTTTAATTCCCTTGAGACATTTCTGTAATTTAGAATTATGTTACTTATTGTTTAAGTATTTAGAGATATTGTTATAATCTGTTGGGATAATGGTTTAATCTCATTATGCCCAAAGACCATACTTTGTATGAATCAGTTCTTGTAACTCTGTTTAGGATTTTTACTGCCCTGGAGATATCCGTCCCACATGCCCTGGAGGGGTGGCTGGTTCTGCCTGGCCTGGTGTGAGCAGCTGTCAGTGGGACCTGTGGACTCCAGAAAGGTCAACGTTATTAACTATAATTCTGGATTTGTCTTTCTTCATCAGCTCTGTCTTCATGATTTTGCTTCGCATGTTTGAACCAGTGTTGTCAATTGCATGCACTCTTAGCATTATTATATCTTTTTGGTGAATTGATCCTTTCACTGTCATGTAATTTCCTTTTCTGCTTCTGATAATTTTCTGACCTCTGAAGCCTATTGGATATTAATATGGGCACTCCACTTTGTTAATATTTGTACTTGCATGGCATATCTCTTTCCATCTTTTTTTTTGGACTGCCATTCCAAAATTATCTTTGAAATGAATTTCTTCTGGACAGCATATTGGCTGGTCTTCTAAGAAGTCACTGTGCTGGGGGGCAGGGTTGCACACCTGTAATCCCAGTACTCTGGGAGAAGGATGCAGGAGGATCACACGTTCAAACCCAAACCTGGCAACTTAGTGACTTAGCCAGACCCTGTTTCAAAATAAAGAAAATGGGAGGGGGAGGGTAGGATATAGTATAGTGCTAAGACCCTGGTTCAATTCTTAGCACCACACCCAAAAAAGATCACGATGATAATCTCTGTCTTTTAATTTAGGCCATTTACACTTAATGTAGTTATTGATTTGGAAATTTAATTCTTTCCACTATTCTGGTCATAATCCATATTGGATGAGAACCAAATCAAATTCAATGGTTAAGTTAAATTTTGCACTCATGGGGAAATTTGATTTGGTTCTCATCCAATTTGGTTTGCAACCAGAATTACAGAAAGAGTTAAGTTTGTGAACCAAGGTACCACTGTACTTGGATTCAAGCCTATCATTTTATATTTTGTTTTCTGCATGTTTCCTCTATTTTTTATTCCTTTGTTTCCTCAGTCTTGTCTTTTTGCTTTGGTTATGTGAATATTTTTAGTATTTTATTTTAAGTGGCTGTTGGTCACGTATTCTGAGAGTTGCACTGTGTGTCCTCACCCTCTCAGTGCTACCAGGATCAGCATCTGGGCACAGCAGGGGTCTGCAGGACCCCCTCGCGCCGGGTTTCCTGTGCCCTCTGTCCCGTGCGCTGAAGTCAGCTTACTTACTCATCACAGCTTTGTTTGCTGAACGTTCGGCCAGACCACAGTACATTTGCTTTCAATCATCACACTTATTTTAAAGAACTGAAGTAAAGAATCTATTATATTCCCCCAATATTTGCCATTTTGTTGTTTTTCCTTCATTCCTGATCCTAGGTTTCCCTCATTTCTGTCTGTTGAACATTTTAGCCATTCTTTAGGGTCTTCCTGCTGGCAGCAAGTTATGTTTCCCATCTTCTGGGGAGGCCTTTGTTTCGCCTTCACTTTTGAGGAATATTTTTGCTGGACCCAGAATTCTGAACTGATAATTCTTTCTTTCTTCTAACGCTTAAAAAAAAGGTGCCTCAGAAAGCCCAGGGTCTGGGCTCATTCTCAGCTCCCTGCGGGGGGTGGGCGCTGGTCCCCTGTTCTCCGACCCCTGGGCTCCCACGCGGCGGCGGCGCGAGCTCTGCGCCCCCGTGAGCAGCTGCAGCCAGTGGGGTGACTGCGATGAGTGGGGGAGGGCTGGGTGTGAGAGAGGAGGGGCAGGAGCTGAAACAGCCTGCGGGTGATGAGGCAGCAGCTCTGGGCCGTTCTGGTGCTGGGTCAACTTCTGAGATCTGGGCAGGGCCTGGGGGAAGGGGGTGGCCTGAGCCTGCCAGTTGCCCCAGGGCCCTTCCATCCCGCCCAGCCCGTGCTCCCTGGAGCTGGGGACTGAGGCAGGCCTGGGAGTTGGCCTGGCCTCAGGGGCAGGACTCAGAGGGGCAGCTGGCGGGAGGGCAGAGGCGTTCAGAGGGCCCCAGGTGTCTTGAGCACAGAGCTGCCCGGGGGCCCAGGTCTGGTAAGGACCACGAGCACCTGCAGAGCCCCAGGGGGAGGCCTGGGACCCCGGGGGGGACAGTGTGTGGCCACTTTCGGGTGCTGGCTGCAGCTGGAGGAGCAAGTGCGGGTCTCGCCGTGGGGCGGGCTCTGGGGCCAGCGGGCTCGCGGGCCTTGGCCGGGGCGGGTGTGCCTGCTGGGCCGGCTGCGTGCTCTGGGAGCGTGGAGGTCGGGGTGTGGGGTCTCCGGCGGGCGTGGGTCTCCGGGTGTCAGGCCCGCGTGGGTGGTGGCCTGCACGTGGGCGGCGCTGCGGGGGGAGCGAAGACCTCGGCGCTCAGGCCCGGTGGCAGCCGGGAGGGCGCTCTCGGCGCCGCTCACGGTTGCTTTCAATGCAATCCGCTTGAATTGCTGGTTTATGTGTTTAATGCGGGCTGTGTGGAGCCTCGGCGCTCTGCGGGCGGCCGGGCCCTGCGCGATTCAGGCCTTTCCTCTCGGTCCCAGGGCGCCGAGCCCCACGCAGCCCGCGGAGCCGGCCGCCTCAGCAGGAAGCCGCGGGCCTGTGTGGGCGACTCTCTGGGGACGGCCCTGCTGCGGGGGGGCTTGGGAACGGCTCTCTGCGTTCCGGGGGCCGGGCCTGGCTCCCGCCCAGGCCTCCCCAACCTCCAGCCGGCCGAGCCCCGCCGGCCGCCGCCTCCCTCGCCCTCTCGTTTCCCGGTCTCGGTCTCCACAGCTCCCGGCCGCCAGCGGTGGGATGCAGCCCTTTCCTCGTGGGCATGTTTGGGGCGGTTCTGCCCGACACCCCGGAGGCTGCAGGTCTCAGCGTGGCTCGACTCAGACCCCAGACGCCGGGCGGGCGGGCGGGCGGGGGGGGGCACCGCGCCTGGCAGGAGGCCGAGAGCGATCCCGCCCGCAGCTGGCGCCCGAAGCCGCAGCTGTGCGGAGGGGAACGAGCGCGCCCGCTGGACCTCCAGGCCCCAGCTGCACCGCAGAGCCTCCCGCTCCCTTTCCAGGTCCGCCCGGCAGACATCGCCACAAGCGACTGGGTGAAGATTGCGCCCAAACTCCCCGGAGCCCGGAGATGGGCCCGAGCCCCGTATAAACGCCAACCGTATTTCTGAGGAGACAGACACTGGGTGCCCGGCTCTGCAAGGAAAGCCTCAGGCTAGGTTCCAAGTGCGGCTTTAAAAAATACTGCGTTTTTAAAAAGCCAAGTATTTACCTACTTATTTGGAACCTAAGATCTTGTGTATGCTAGGTGTGCTCTGTCCCCGAACTACAACCCCAGCCCCTTAACTGCATTAAAAACATTATTTTAAAAATTTCATACAACGAACACACACAAAAAGGAGTGCAACCGCCGTGGCATGCAGCGGTTTCCTCACTCCGAAGGCAGTCGCGCGGCCCTCGATGGTCGAGCCTGGCCCCCAGCTCCAGCCCATGCCCGGGGTCTCCTCAGTGCCGTGCCCCTGTGGAAGGCAGCCGGGATGGAAGCGCTGCTGTGGGCCCTTGGCGCGAGGCCTTGCCTGGACCGGGGTTTGCGTTTCTCTGGGGCATCGTCCTTGACCGGGATGTGGGTCACACGGACCACGTGGCTCCCTGTGGGACAGATGGCCAGCCTGTTTCCAGAAGTGGAAAATACCTCTTCCCAGCCTGCGTCCCACCAGCCGTGGGGGCGGCCAGCTGCTCCGGTCGTCCTGGGCACTGGCTATTGCCACAGCTTTTTTAAAATTTAATTTTAGCCATTCTGTGAGTAGTGGAATCTCGTGTGGTTTCAATTTGTGTTTCCCTGGTGATTAATAATCTTTGACTTCTTTTTTCTTTTTTGGTACCAGGGATCGAACTCGGGTCCTTGTGCTTGCCCGGCAGGCGGCAGAACCACTGAGCTAAATCCCTGGCCCCTCTTGGACTTTTTTTCACACATTTGTCTGGCATGCATAATTTATTCTTTGGTGATTTTTTTTGAACTTATGCTTCTTTTAAAAAATTTCATTGTTTGCAAGGACCTGAGTTCGATCCCTGGTACCAAAAAAAAAAAAAAAAATTTCATTGCTTGGGGCCAGGGATTTAGCTCAGTGGGGTCACGCCTGCCTCATAAGCGAAAGGTCCTGAGTTTGATCCTCGGTCCAAAAAAAAAAAAAAAATTCATTGCTCGTTCTCTTATTGAGTTTTAGGAGTTCTTTCCATATTCTGGCCATGTCCTTTGTGAGATAGAAGCTATACAATTATTTTCTCCCTCTATGTGACTAGTCTTTTTATTCTCTTAAGGGTGTCTTTCAGAGGGCGAAGCTTTTAGTTTTGATGAAGTCAAGTTCCTAATTCTTTCTTCTATCAATCTTTGATGTTTCTGAGACTCATTGCCCTGTGAGAGGTCACAAAGGTTTTCTCCCGTGTTTTCTTCTAATGATTGTAGATGTTGGCACTGGGGGTGATGTTGGGTCCACTCTGTGTTTGTACCCTTGTGAGGCTGAGGCTGAAGAGAATGATTTGTCCCAGCACCGTTCCCTGAAACGAAGGTGTTTCCTCCATGGATCTGTGTCTTCACCTCCATCAAGTACTCCATTTTCCAAGTAGAGATGGGAACCTGGAGGACAAGGATGGCGGGGCTTCTGGAAGGTCTGAGGCACCCATCCAGGGTGTATATCCCCACCCAGAGTTGGCAGAGGGCAGCTGGCCTGTCAGCAGCTCCAGGTGTGAGCAGGGTTGGGGAACCCCTGCCCCCCAATGACTGCACCTGTGTTCTCCAGCTGCACAAGTGGAGTGCTCAGGGCGGGTCCCTACCTCCTGAAGGCCTTGTCCACCTGGCTCTTGTTCTGGAGGCTTCCCTGTCAGGGAGTTGGGGTGGGAACTGCGGCCCTGGACCCCCTTGCCAGCCCTGGCTCACAAATCTTGAGTGTTGGCCTAAGAGAGGTTTCCAATAATGTTAGACATTTACATGGCTTCCAGAAACTGAGTAAATGTTTACATTTCAGACTAAGTCACTGATAAATATTCCTAAAAAGAGTCTAAAGGAATAAACATTTTTGTGGATATTTGTGCCTGTTTTTAAATTGAGATGTAATTTCCAATAGGAAAAGGCACAAATCTGGGTATGCAGCTGCACGACTGTCCCCGTTAGCACTTGCCTCCACCTCCTGGACTGTGCTTGCCCATCCACTTCTCGTAAGCGGAGCCACAAGGATGTGCTCTTCCTGACGTATTGCGCACACTGAAGGAGAGCTGTGTGGGGACCTGCTGTGTGGCTGTGCCACATTCTCCTCCATACTGATGAGCAGGGCTGACCAGGTTTTGGGCTGTCATAAACAACTCTCCCATGAGCACTCGTGAACCGGCCTTGTATGGCTGTAATACTCATGCCTGCAGCACATGCATGGCCCACTGTGCACAGCAGAGTGGATGCTCAGCTCTGGCAGGTTCTCTACGGTTTTTGAAGTGACTGGATCCTTCTGGCCCCATCAGCACAGGCCACTGTTGCTGGGTTCCACATCTCCCCAGCATATGGTACTGATGGTTGGTCTAATTGTAATCATTTCAGTAGGTGCTCAGTGGAAACTAAAGAGACTCCTCTGTATTTTAAAGATGATTGTGAGTTGTTTGGATGACCTCCTCATTATCCAAAGAGGTTAAGAAGTAAAGGTAAGAGCTAAGAGATGTTACCTTACACTTCTGTAACAAAAATCCCAATGTGGGTCCTACTGGTCTTCTTAGGAACTTGAATCAATGCTTATGTCCACCCAAGGACTTGAACACAAGTATTCACAGCAGCTTCATTCATAATGGCAAACAATGAACACAGGCAAAAGATCCATTAGGAGGGCCATGTCCACTTCTGAGGCTGAAGGGGAGGATAATTTCCATGACTTCTCCAGCCTCCTCAGCTGCCTGTGTTTCTTGACTTGTGACTCCTTTGTCCATTTCCAAGATCAACAGTGGCTTGCAGTCCCTTCCTCCTCCTCCAGTGTCCACATTGGCACATGACCTTCCTTCATCTCTGGGTCCAACAGTGATGTGTGGCCCCGTCCTCCATCCCCAAGGCCAGCAGAGGCTTGTGGCCACCTTCCGTCTCCAAGGCCAACAGTGATAGGCTTCATCTTTTCACTATTATGCTACTCTGCTCTTGCCTGCTTTTCTCTTTCAATTTTAGGGATCTTGCAATTACCTTGGACCCACGTGGATGATCGAGCCAAATCACTGCATCACAAGGTGAGCTGCTCAGCAGTCTTAGTGCCACCTTCGACTCTAAGATAGGCAGATTACCCTTGATTACTAAATGTGCCCGAGGTAATCTCAAGGGTCCTTAAGTGCGCAAGAGGGAGGCAGAAGAATCAGAGTCAGGGAGTGACAGAAACAGACCACTAGCTTTGCAGATGGCACAGGGCAGGATATGTCAAGGAAAGTGGGACCTCCGGAGGCAGAAAAGGCAGGAAGTAGACTCTCCTGGCACCTCCAGAGAAGCCAAACCTTGACTCCTTGCCGTGAGCCCCACGAGATCTGTTTCTGACTTCTGACCTCCAGAACTGTGAGAAAATAGATTGGTATTGTTCAAGGTCACTAAGTTTATGATAATTTGCTACAATGAAATACTAGCACAGGGGTTGGGGCAGCCAGTGACCATTGTGGATTTGTCTACTTCTCTTGTCTGTGTTTTGCTTTCCCTATTTTGCAGCTGTATTGCTTTATGCATAGACATTTAGGGTTGTGTTGTCTTCTTGGAAGAATGTCCTTGTGATAGTTAAGTGGTGGTTGTGTCAAGTTGAATAAGAAACACTCAACTACATTGGTTCAGCACAGTTCTGTGTGTCATCAGAATAGAATGAAAGGGAAACGAAGGAGGAAGGCTCACGTCTGTGCCTTCGGAGGAGCTCCAGTCTTCACTTTCACCTTGGACGTTGTCTCCTGGCTTCCAGCACAAACTCATCAGCCTTCCATCACAGACCCTTTGGCCTCCTCATATAAACTGGCACGGGATACTACACTAAGCTCCAGGCCTTAACTGGATCCTTCAGATCTCTAGTGCACAGATAGTCCTCTTGTGTGCTTCCAACCTGACGCTGTGAGTGGCCATTGTAAGCCCATCTTGTAAATTCTTATATATCTGTATATCTTGCATTAAATCTGTTTCTCTAGTAAGCACTGATATAAGCCCTATTATCATTAAATCATGCCTTTCTGTCACTGGTGTTTTTGAAGTCTACTTTATTGGAGGCCAGAAGAGCTGGCTACTTTCTCCTTTGATTAATAGTATATCTTTCCCATCCCTCTACTTTCAGCAGCCCTGCATGATATTTAAAGTGAGTTTCTGTGGACAATGCATAGAAGAAGTAAACTGATCTCTATTTGCAAATGACATGATTTTTTATATAAAAATTTCAGAGAAGCTACAAAAACTATCAGAATTAATAAATTAGTTTAGCAAAATTGAAGGATACAAGATCAATATGTAAGAAATTCTTTGTGTTTCTCTATGGTAGTAATGAATAATTTGAAGTGAAATGAAGAAAACCATTATAGTTACAATGGTATCAAAAAAGAATAAAAAGCTTGGAAATAAATTTAACAGAAGAAATGCATAGCGTATACACTGAAAATTACAAAATATTATTGAAGGAAATTAAAAACCCAAATAAATGAAAAGATATTTTGTGTTCACAAATTACAAGACTCGATACCGTTATGATGAGAATACACCTCACACTGATCTACAGATTCAACTCAATCCCTAGCAAAATTCAATCTGGCTTTTTTGCTAAAATTGACAGGTTGATTAACAAATTCATATGGAAATTTCAGGGATCCAAAATTGCCAAAACAATTCAGAAAGTAAGAATCAGCTTAGTATGAAGCTAAAGGAACCAAAAACAGTGTGGTTCTGGCATAAGGATAAACACACAGACTAGTGAGACGGAATAGAGACCAGAGCACCCGGAGATTAAACTCTTCACTTCTAGCCAGTTGGTTTTCACGAAGAGCACCAACCACTCAATGGAGAAAACACCTTTCCAACAAATGGTCAACAGGTCATCTGCATGAAGAAGGAAGGATATCCTACCTCATGCCCTATACAAAAATAAACCTAAGATGGACCAGAGGCTTACATGTGAGAGTTAAAACTGTAAGGCTTTTAGAAAAGAAACAGCTATTAAAAGCCCAGGCTTCATAGGATTCAGCAATGAAAGCTAGTTAAATCAGACTTCATCAAAACTAAACTTTTTTTGTGCTTCAAAGGGCATATTAAGGAAATTAGAACACAACACACAGAATGGATGAGAGGACTTGTGAGCCATACATCTGATACCTAGATCGAATATCCAGGATACATAAATAATTCTTACAACTCAGCATTAGAAAAAACTAATCCAATGAAAACTGGACAAAAGACTGGATTAGGTATTTCTCTAAAGAGGATGTAATAATAAAAGCATACAAAGAAATACTCGAAACTGTTGGTCATCAGAGAATGTAAATAAAAAACACTAGGTATCACTTCTCACCCACTAAGATGGCAGGAATAAATAAGGTCCCACAGGTCCACAGCTAGGGGACCATCCAGGAGAACTGAAGACAGCATCCACATAAAAAGTGCACACAGATCACAGCAGTGTTGCTCATGACAGCTGAAGAGTGGAAACAGCCCAAAGTTTCTCAAAAGAAGCACTGATGGGTAAACATGCTTCAATATATTCAGAGTGGAGTGTCATTCAGCAATGACAAGGAATGAGAACCCACCCAGGCTAGGACATGAGAATATTGCGTTGAGAGGGCAAAGCGCATCAGAAGCACCTGGTTCCATCCCATTATGCATGAAGGGTCCAGATCAGGTGAATCCGGAGACAGGCAGTAGATGAGGGTGGGGTTTCTTTCTGGAGCAAAGGAGGAATCTGGGACCAGATGACACAGTGGCACTCACCTTTCTGCACACATCAAACACCACTGCGTTGTGTACTTTTAAATGGTGGGTTGCATGGTATGTGAATTATGTCTCAATAAAAAACACTGTACTCCTGATTTCAGAAAGAAAAGAAAAAGAAGTTCCACAAGTTCCCTGACTGTAGAAGAGCCAGCACTGAAGTGTGAAAAACAAACTACAGGACAAATGGTGGTGAGCCGGGATCATAGCATCTGCATTTCTAGGAGCTTTGCATGGCAGGTGGCATAAAATTTGGGGACTATACAGGACCACACCAGACAAGTCGTTGGGCAGAACCATCCACCTCAGAGATGGCTCTGAGCAAGTCAGTGTGTGTAAGAAATATCCAGATTTTAAGCAGCATGTTCAGATAAATCTGAATAGAAGAATAAGTCTTAATTTTAAAGACCCTGAAGCAGTCAGAGCTTTGACCTGTACTCTTTTAAGGGAAGACTTTGGACTTCCTGATGATATTCTGTTGGAGAGACAAATTCCCACAGTTCCTTTGAGGCTCAACTACATTCATTGGGTGGAAGATCTGATTGGTCACCAGGACGCTGACAAAACTACACTTCGAAGAGGAATTGACATAGATACCAGGCCATCCTGCAACTATCCCTGAACTGGAGCAACCTTAAATGGCTGATATTTCCTTGCAACGAAAGTGGATGAAATATGTTTCAGCTACACAAAGAAAATGTGGAACAGAATAACTTATCTGATCTCATAAAAGTGGTAAAAGTACCATAGAAGACACTCCCAATGGATACTCTTAAAGAAGAGTGTGAGGGCCGGGGATCTAGCTCAGTGGTTCCACTGCCTGCCTTGCAAGCGGAAGGTCCCGAGTTTGATCCCCGGTACCAAAAAAGAAGAAGAATCTGAGATAATCTATGACTTTTGCATGTACAACCCTCCTTTTTTTTTGCCAACCAGTTGGAGCCCAAGGGAGTAAACTCTAGAAATTCTCAAAGAACTCCACCTAGTTCTGTAAATACAGGAGGTATCACAGAAATCATGGCTGAAGGAGGTGAATTAGAGTTTGTTAAAAGGATCATCCACAACTGTTTACAATTTAAAAAATGATTAAGGTGGCACAGCTGCATGCTGGGAAAGAAATGCAGCCTGGGTCCTCTGAAGGAAGGGTTTTGCATCCAAGGGGTTCCCAAAGTCATCTTCACTGAGTTCTGTCAAGGTCGAACAATGAGACGGGCCTTAGCTGTGAGTTTTTATGATGATGTCACAGTACCATCGTCACCTAGAGAAGCCAAGGAAACCCAACATGTTTGTAGTGCTGGAGTCTGTGATGAAAGAATTATCCCTCAAAGCATCGTCTTTGGGCTCTGAGATGGTGGAAGGCATAGTGGTTGTTACAACATGGATAGAAAAACTTCTCACCGATCTGAAGGTCCAGCTTAAATGAGTTCCCTGTGGAAAAGAGGAAGTTAGCCTTTTCCTGACAGCCATAGAAAACCCCTGGATTCATTTAAGGAGAAAGAAAAGAGAATGAGTGAGACAGCTGAGGGGAGTGCCTCGAGCTCCTGAGGATGTCATCCAGGCCTTGGAGGAGAAAAAGGCCACCCCTAAAGAGTCGGGCAGTAGCCAGGATGTGGGCCTGGCCGCCCAGGAGAGTGCCCCGTGTGGGCCTGCCATGCGGGAACATGAGTCTGCCATGGTCAGGGCCCACTGCCCAAGCCAGGAGTCACTGTCCTGGGACGAAGGAAGCCCCAGGACCCCTGGAGGATGAAAGGAGTGAGGAAAGGGGTGGGACAGAGGCCATAGAGAGTTGTGGGTGCTGGGAATTGAACCCAGGGCTTCTTGCACACTAAGCACACGCTTTATCATTGAGCTACCTACACCCAGCCCCATACACACTGAACTGTACGAGAAGTTTGGTGTTAACTAGCAACAAACCTGAAAATTTGGTTACGTATATAGGTACAAAACTGGTTTATCAAATCTCTGTTCTGGCCCTCAACCCAATGCATTTCAACTAATGCATCGTCTACTTCCTTCCTGACGTTTATCAAACACTTGAAGAGATGCTGTGCACTGCTCCATGAAGGTGCTGCCCCTAGTCAGCCCCAGGGCTGCTGAACTGCTCAGAGGCCTCTCAGTCCTGGGCTCCATCACTGGCCCGGAAGTGACACTGTGTGGAATTATCCTAAAAAGTAGAAACCAGTTAATCCATTTAAACCATCCTCCTGTGCTGCCCTTTCATTTTGTTTTTGGTTACAGGGAGTTGTGGTACGGTAGTTCGGAAAGAATTGCTCATCAGCAACAACAGAAAGCTGTCAATGATTCAGGAGGAACTTAAAGCTGAACCACACTGGCCATGGTAGCTTTAGACTAACTCTGTGAGGCCAAAGGGACATAACACATCTGGTGTGGTTCAGTGCTGTCCAGAGCATTCTGGTCTCTGTTCCCAGGGGTTGGCTTGTGAGAGGTGCAGTACAGCAGGGCAGGCAGAGGCCCACTTTGGGTGACCCTCAGGACCGAGCCTGCTCAGCCTGGGCACATGTGATTGATGAACTGTGCTCAAGTCCCCAGAATGGAGCTGGCCCCATGGCAGGCAGTGAGGGGTCAGGGAGAGAGGGCCAGGAAGGAAGGCCCATTTGAGCGGCACTTGCCTGCCTGGCAAACACGAGGCCCTGAGTTCAATCCCCAGTACCACCCCCCCCAAAACAAAAAACCAAAACCACACATCACATGTGACACCCTCCCATGCTGCTTTACCACCTTTGATAAGGCATTCTGCTACACGACTCACTGGGAAAAATGGGTCCCTCTGCAGGTACCTGTTTGTAACTTGCTGTCAGTACAATATAAATTATTTCATTGTAATAGATACATTTTGCTGTTTAAAAATATTAGTGAGCCATGTACCGGGGTGCTTGGCTTTCCTCCGTCTGCAGAGGGCCAGCAGGCATCCAGAAGCTGCAGAGGCCAATGCCTGCTGGGTGCGCAGGGTGGGAGGTGCCCAGAACCACTGGGACCACTGCCTGTGCTTGTCTTCATTTGTCATGTGCTAAAGTGTTACCAAAAGTGACAAAGGAGCACGGAGTGTGAGTGGTGGCCTGAGTACCATCTCCACGTCACCCCCAAGGAGGAGCCTGGGGAGAATTGAGACTCAACAAGGGAGGCTGAGAACCCAAGTATTACGGGGCCACGTCTCACACATGGGCACTGCCCTTGAGAACACCCTCAGATGGGCTTCCTCCTCTGCTTAGGAGGCGGGAGCCCTCTCATCACCTGGGCTGTCCTTGGTTGT